CTTGCACCTTCCTCCCCCGCTCGCCCCCTGCGCCGGGCTCATGGCCTGGTGTCGGGGACGGAGTGCCATTAATTAAAACGACGCCGTAACACTTCGAGGAGATGGGTAGCACACACGAGAGCGCCCTTAATGGTGGGATTTAATGCGAAGGAACAACCGCAGAGCTAATGCAGGTGTGACTTTGCCCGACTGACTTCCTCCGCGCCCATGAAGGTGTCAGAGATCCACGCGCGGAAAAAGTCTCGATCGGAGGTTTTGCGACCGAACATAAACCAAGATGGATACGTATAATCGACTCGACGGTAAATGTGTGTTGGTGACGTCCCGGCAAGGCTCATTACTTCGAGGTGAACTGAGTTCTTTCTCGCCCGATTCTTATGATGCGAATGGTTTATCGCCGTCTAATTACGGGTGGCCGCGCTCCACAAACTTAACCCCTGCCCCCCATCGCTTGACCTCTGACCTAAGCATGGAGAATCCGGCACATACGTCATGGTACGGAGGTGTCAATTTCGCCAGACGCAGCGGAAGATCGCTTGTGGCATTATATGTGTTTAAGAAAGACCGAATGCAATGTGAAGATAAATCCCATTGACATATGACTTACAAACCTTTGGGGCATCTTAAAAGCAAATCAAGTGTTAAGACTACCCAAGAAAGCAGGGAGGGCGCCTGGCTGTTGGTGGATATGGCGAAGAGATCACCGAATCCGATTCCTGATAAATCTAAATTCACCCTCAATAAGCCAGAGCGGCCCTTCTAGCGCCTACAGTCATGCGACGAGAGCCACGCCCTCTGCCACAGGGGCCTTCAACTCTCTTGCTTTAGGATCAAGACCTTGGTAGTTAGCTGAATGAGCGATCTTCACCGCAAGTATTTCCAGTGCAAAGTTGTTAGCCTGAATTTTAGCTCCTGAGAACTGGGGCATTATTCTCAGCTTGAGCGTGACTTAATTTGGTGCTGAATGTAAATTACTCCGAACCTACTAGACTAGTTGACTAAAGTGTATGCTCTGTGACTAGCTTGGTAAGACAACCAACATGACTTGGCACACACACGGCTGTTCATTGACTGAGACCTTATGGCAGGCAGCGCCCTGCCTCCGGCCCTCGCCAACCCCTTAAACTTAGAACTCGCGCCGCCCACTTGCCTGAATGACCCGCAGCTCGTCCACGGAGAGATGGTGCGGGAACGACAGGATGTTCCGCCGCTTCGACTTCAGCTTGGTCGGCGGCCGCTTGCGGTTCATCATGTGGTCGCCGTCGGAGGAGCTCTTGCTGAGGGAGCCGCAGTCGGTGCTCTCGGGGGTCAGCTGGCCCGCAGGCCGGCCCAGGTGGTCCAGGTGGGCGCTCAGGTGCCCGTTCAGGTGGTGCTTGTTCAGCTCATTGTAGGTGTCGACGTCGTCGGGCAGGACGGTGAGCGCCGTCTTGCTGGTCACCTCGGCCAGCTTCTGCAGGTCGCAGCCGTCGACCAGTACCTCCTGGTCGCCGCCCTCGTCCTTCTCCGCCGGGTACTCCCGGTACTTGTCCTCGACGGCGTCCTCCGCGCCCGGGCTGCTGCTGTTGTTGTTGCCGCTGCTGCAGGAGTAACTCAGGTCCTTCTTCTGGTCGAGTGCGTCGAGCACCTTCTCGGGAGGGTCATGCTGCACGCGCTGCCCGTGCGACGGCGACGACTGCATGTGCAGCGCAGACAGCGGCAGCGGTGAGTACGTGGAGGTGGGCGGGCCGGACACCGAGTACTTCTCGGGCGTGAGGGGGTAGCCGCCCTCCCACACGGCGGCGCTGCTGCCGCCGCTCTGCGACGCGGCCGGCGTGTCGCGCTCCGGGTACTGTTGCACGAAGTGGCTGCCGAGGCCCGCGGGGCTGAGGCGCGGCACACCCACGCCGCCCGCGGGTGAGCCCTCGAGCTTGGGTAGGTCGACCTTTCCGTAGTCGTGCTGCGCGCGCGCGTCGGCCATTTTGACGGGCGGGCTGGCCAGGCGCTGCGGCTCCTGCAGCTTGACTGGCGGCGACGTGACACGGTGCGGCGACGCCACGCGCTCGCGCAGAGCGGCGCCTCCGCCCGGAGAGCTCATCATGCCCAGGGCGACGCCCGGGGACTGCTGGCGCTGCGCGGGGACGACCTCTCGGCTCTGCGCCTTGTACACGGGCGTGCTCACGCCATTCTTGGCCGGGTAGTCCCCGGGCTTGCCAGGGTAGTCCTGAGGTTTGGTCGGGTAGTCCTGTGGCTTCCCCGGGTAGTCTTGAGGTTTGCCTGGGTAGTCCTGCGGCTTGCCAGGATAGTCCTGAGGTTTGCTGGGGTAGTCCTGGGGTTTACCTGGGTAGTCTTGGGGCTTGGTTGGGTAGTCCTGCCCCTTGCTCGGATAATCTTGAAGTTTACTAGGATAGTCCTGGGGCTTGTGCTGATAGTAGTCGTGCCTGGGGTAGTCTCGCTGCGCCAGGCTGAGGGGAGCGCCCACGAGGCGCTCGCGGGACCCGGCGCGGCTCTCACGCCCTCGGCTCTGCGGAAGGAACAAGGGAACACGTCAGGCACATCATAATAGTAACGCGAGTCATGATTAAGAGTACAATGAAAACAACGCCAATAATAACTAAAATAACAAAAAACAACAATGATAACAAAAGCAATTATGAAAATGATGATAATGACGTCAGCTCGCACGGGGAACAGCCAAACAAAAGAATAACCACACAAACCGAAGGTCAACCGATGCAGATAAATTACTCTGACCATAAACGACGAACAACAACATTAAGCACAGAAATCGACAACAGTAAACATGACATATTATATATATATATATATATATATATATATATATATATATATATATATATATATATATATATATATATATATATATATATATGTATGTATATATGACAAACTGGAATACCAGTGACAAATATATATTATATATATATATATATATATATATATATATATATATATATATATATATATATATATATATATATATATATACATATATATTAAGTACCTCGTCCATATGCATATTTTATCTCCCATATTATATAGAAGCGAAAGCATACTAAAAAAAATCTGCAATAATTCAGTCTGATATTAACAGCCCCCCCCTCCCACACACACACAAAACAACAACAATCATCCCTTCCAACAATATCACCTCAACCTCATAACTCACAACATCATTACTCATTCTCCGATATGACACAAAGCCCAACACAAACCACACGCTTTGAAAACACATCAACAAAATGAGAATCCCGCTTTTAAGTGTGCATGTATTTTTTCACCATCATCATTACTCTTACATCTATCTATTTATTAGCATTTTTGATGGACAGGCGAAGACAGGAGGAGTCAGATGGACAAAACATCATTATGGTTGTAGCTGTGTGAGGTTGTAATCACCCTTTTGATTTATACCGTTTTCTTTGACATGTGGCGGGGACTCGTGTAATATAATGGTGTTTGACGTGGCGAAAGAGTAAATCATATATATACGACAACAATGTGAGTTTTTATTATATGTACATCTTTCAAAGAGATTATGGGGAGAAAGTGATTATATAGTATGATATTTCTTTTATTTATTGTCTATTTCTCAGGGAAGGGAAAAGGAAGGACTGTTTTGTTTTCGAGTTACATGGGTCCTGTTTATATTACATTGTTGCGTACGGGCGTCACCTCCCAGCAAAACAAAGTAAAGGGCAACACGTACACAGCAAATTAGTAACTAGTACAGGGAGAATAAACAATTAAAACTAATCGATTAGACGAACAGAGAAAACTACTCCCCAAGAATTACAGAGAAAAAAAACGAAAAAGAAATAACCATGAAACCAAAACACCAAACCTCTTAAACCGAACCAACACGAAAAAACAAAAAATATATAAGACAAAGCGACGCAGGATACAGCAAGGCGAACCTGCAGTACTAAGGGATGATATCAAACGCTTTGTGAATGAAGATGCCGGATGGGAGAGCGCTTTTTCGTGGCGTGCAATGCAAGCGAGTTTTGTCATTGATTTCTCGGGATAGGAGAGTCGTTTGGTCTTTGTTCTGTCTTTTGTATTGTCTTTTATTTATTTATTTATTTTCAACTCCTCCCTTTTTTGTTCGATTTAGAGATAACAATAATCGGGAACAGGAGAAAGGAAAAAGAAGATAAGGTAGTAAGAGAAAAGAGAATAAAAAGGCTAAATAAGAAAGGGGAAGAACAGAAAAGACAAAAGAAAAGAGAAATGAAGCTAAACATAAACGATTAAAAAAAGGAAACCTACAAAAATATCCCCCAAACAACAAATACCGAGTTACTAAACCCTCACCAACCTCTGCAATTCTCACAGCAGAAGCCTTATCCCTTTTAATCATCGCCATAGCAATCGCCTTATCCCCTACACCAGGCCCCCCTCACACTCCGGGCGTGGGAGCCCCTCCGCCGACGCCGCCCACGGAGTGAGTCGAGACGCGTCGCCGGCCGAGAAAGTGAATAATGAATGTGATCACTGCCGGCTATTTGTGAGACTTTCTTTTCATTACTTTTTTATTTATTTTATAGCTTTGTATGTTTTCTTTTTCTTTTTTTTACCACTGCGGTGTGTTGTCGCGTCATCACCATGTCAGTCATCTCCGCAATCGCTGTTGTCTTGTGATTAGTTATTAGTAAAGATGAGTTTTACGATTCATCATGGTGAGATCTCCTTGTCATCTGTCATTTCGAAAATCATTTATTACGTCTGTCACGACTGTCATCAGTACTACCATGCCTTTATTACAAGTACTATTATTACTTTTTTATCCCATTATCTATACTAAACCCAATAGACGATGTACATAAGTTCATTTATTACACACAGTCTCGCTCCTATAATCGCCTTCCCGGATTTACACTCTTTCTCATTTCGACAGCGGCCATTAACAAATAAATTCATCACATATCCCGCTCATCAAGTCTCTCGCGATGAAGACGACGCAACAGCCGAGACAAAACTTCAAATCCGAGACAATGCTCCCTTTTTCTCGCAATTAAAACCTCGCTCGGCAAGGAACATCTGTCTCTATCAGGAGCACCGTACAATTTTCCCGCGCGCGCCTTCCCATCGCTTCGTGGAGGCGGGAAGGCGGGAAGCGCGAAACAAATGAGCATCGGAGACGCCTCTTCACATGGGTGCGCGATTCTCTTGTCTCTTTCTCTTTCTCTTTCTCTGTTTCTGTCTCCCTCTCGCTCTCCCTCTCCCTCTCTCGCACTCTGTCTCTGTGTCTGTGTCTGTGTCTGCGTCTGGCTCTCGCTCTGTGCCTTACAGTTTCTCCTCTCTCCTCTCGTCATCAATCTGTCTCTCTATCTATCTACATGTCTATCTATTTATCACTTCCCTCCTGCCCCCGCGTCCCATCGCCAAAGAACACTGACGGATGGCGGGCCTCCTCCTCCTCCTCCGCGACAGCCGGGCATTTTGGCATTGTCTCGACCCGACACTCTCTGCCTGCCATTGTCACGTCCATCAACGCCATTCCTAGGCCTATGGGGGTGGGGGTTGAAGGGGGCGTTATCCCCCCCCCCCCTTAAAGAAGGAAACTGATGTATATGGAAGAGTGGGAAGAGGAAGGAGGAAGGGAGGAGGAGGAATTTGTTCGGAAGATGGAGAGCGTCGGGGAAGGTCGGTGGCACGGGCGGCGACGCAGACGGATGGGCGGCCGGGCTTTGGCGGACGGAAGGGGGGGGGGGTTGTTTCCTTAATGGCTTAATGTCGATCGTATTTTTTTCCTCTAAAGTCGCTGGTGTTGGGAAAGTAATGAGGATTAGTGTTAGGGCACTGGCGACGTCCGTGAATGGCAATACGTTTGTAAATAGATAAGCAGACTTGCAGACTGAAAGATATATAGATAGAAAGGGAGGAGAAGGAAGATGGAGAGAGAGAGAGAATGCGAGAGAAAAAAATAGACAGACAGATAGACAGAGAGAATATGAAAACGGGAAGACGAACAGAGGTAAGCAAACAGAGAGACAAGAGAAATAGACCTACAGAGTGACCCCCCCGCATCCACACCCCCACCCCCCCACGCAGCATCGACGGGCGACAAATCCCTTACAAGCCTCGAACCTCACACGGTCCGTCGCAGCGCTGTCCATGTCTGTCCGATTCTGCCGCTGATATCTCAACCGACGTCCATTTCTTCCGTCGAATCCTCCTTCTCGTTTTTCTCCTTCCCTCTTTCTCTCTCCCTTCCCGTCTCTAATCTTTCTTCAGTTCCTCTTTTCCCTATTCTTTTAACCTTTCGTTATTCCTGTTCTTTCTTATTTCCCTTCTATGTGTTCCCTCTTTTATCTTTTCCGCTCCATTTATTACTTCCCCTTCCCATCCCCTTCCTTCCCCCAATCCCCAAACCCTCTTTATTCCTCCTCCCCCTTCCCCTTTCTTCTTCTTCTTCTTCTTCTTCTTCTTCTTCTTCTTCTTCTTCTTCTTCTTCTTCTTCTTCTCCTTCTCCTTCTCCTTCTCCTTCTCCTTCTCCCCTCCTTTCCCTTCCTTTCCCTTCCTTTCCCTTCCCTTCCCTTCCCTTCCCTTCCCTTCCCTTCCCTTCCCTTCCCCTCCCCTCCCTCCCTCCCTCCCTCCCTCCCTCCCTCCCTCCCTCCCTCCCTCCCTCCCTCCCTCCTCCTCCCCCTCCTCCTCCCCCTCCCCCTCCTCCCCCTTGCCTTACCAACCCCTTCCCCTCCCCTACTAACCAAGGGCCAGCAGGTCACTCAAAAAAAAAGGGTGCCATGACCTGTTAACGAAATCCCTCTCGACGTCTGGCTTTTCTGAAGGACGGCGAGGAACCTTCTTGAGCTGGTGGTCGCTTTTGCCTCTGTTCGCTGACGTCGACGCCCTCGCTCGAATGTCGTTATTTGATTCAGTATCATTATTACTGTCCTTATTATTATCAGCAGCATGGTCGACGTAATAGTAGTAGTAGGAGTAGTAGTAATAGTAGAGGTGATAACAACAACAAAATAACAACAATAATCATTTTTAACACTTTAGCAATAATAATAATAATAATAATAATAATAATAATAATAATAATAATAATAATAATAATAATAATAATAACAATAATAATAATAATAATAACAATGATAATAATGATAATAATAATAACAATAATAATAATAATATTACTACTTTTAATAATTATTTGAACAAGAATAAAAGTAATCATAATAAACAACAACGACAAATAACAACAACATCAACAACAACAAAAACAACAACAACAATAATAAACAATAATAACACTAAACAGAAACAGTAATCATTAGTTCTTTTCTTGATTCTGTGCCTTTTTCGTATCATTATTATCACTTCTATCGCTCCAATTAGTATTCACATCATTATACCGGCTTTCACTATTTCACAGTCATTCACTGTCATTTTCCCATAATTCTCATAATCATCATCATTGCGATTACTCCATCCTACTTTCTATCGTGAAAAGCAAAACCCTTAAGTAATTAGTGTTAAGTAAAAATAATG